GTTCGCCACCACTGCTCTAAGCTGTGAATCCTTTTGTCAGCCTAGCCTTCCCTGATGGCTCTGGAATTTTATATTTATATCTATACCCTGCAATTCTGTATCTGCTAGAAAATTATTGGATGCCTTGAGTCTTCACCCAGTGCCAGAAATGATGTCTAACATGGTGACTCATTCTTGGCCTACATTGGACTTGTCTATGAAACAAGGTATCTTAAAATTATGGTGTAAGAGGTGGAGCCCTCACTGAGGACTTCTTACATTAAATGTACACTGCTAAGGCATTTTTAAAGCCACTTCCATGATATTGTGCCAAATCCTGTGCCCCTTTTGCAGCTTGGTATAGAAGTGCTCTCATCAGAGACAGATGAATGCTGATTGTGTACTGCCAGCTACTGAGACCTAAGAGTAGAGATGTGAAGGCCCGGAAAAAACCCGGAAACATTCGGGTGGGAAATGTTTTCCCCGTTTTGGGGTAGAGATGTGAAGGCCCGGAAAAAAACCGGAAAAATTCGGGGGGGGAAACGTTTTTTTCCCGTTTTTTTCCCTGAAGCTTTTTTGGTTTTTTCCCCGAAAAGTTGGAAAAATTGAAAAAAGAAAAGAAAAGAAAAGAAATTGATTATGGAACGTTTTATTTTAACATGATGAATAAAATATTTTAAGACAAGGTGTTCAAATATTTTCCAAATAATTTCAGATTGATCTAATTTCTGTGCACTGAGGACAAGCAAGCTGTAGGTTACAAACTGAACTCTCCAATGCAAGATGCATTTCTTCCTTTAGGAGGTGCGATTGTCAGAAGAAAATAACAAAGTTTCAGTTTTGTTTTTGCATGTGGGTGGGTATTCTGTTTGTAATAATTGTTTGGATACACTATATTTTTAATATGCTAGTTGTGATAATTTCATGCCATGTAAAAATGTCCATAGTCATATTTTATGTTCCTAAAGTAACAGAATGACTTTCAATCTAGAAAAGACAAAAGAAATGCTAATGTAGCATTTTTTTCAATTTTTCCGAAAATTTCCGTTTTTCCCCTAAGAGTGAATAGAACAACGGGAGTAACTAGAGCAATGTTATTTCTATAGGGATCATCTCAGCCTTCCTTCACGTTCACCCATTTGGAGCAAGTATTGAATACATTTGTTCCTACCTCCAGCGGCTTGATAGCAAGGTATGTGCTGCCATCTCTGTTTACTCCGTGGATTAAAAGGTCTCAAGTAGTATTCTGTGAATTGAGTTCAACTCTGGGCACTTTACTACCTCCCAAGTCATGCTTATTAAGGAATCTTTCCTTGATTTTAAACACCTGCAGATCCTCCTCTGTTTCTTTCCCAATTGGTGGAAATTATGCCAATCACATTAATTGGAAAGATCAGGCGCCCTTGACTTCTCTTTGAACTGGAATACATGATTAAAAGCGGGATGTGGGTTATTTCATGTGGGTGGTATCCAGAATTTCCTACAGAAGCGCAGCAAACCTGTTAATAACCCAAGATAGTTGGCATGTGTGTTTCCAGAATTTATGTGGACAGAGGTCAACCTCTCAGGGTAGCTTCTGATATCATATGTGCGATAGTACGATTCTTTTGCATTGAGCTTTTTTCTGTGATTCATTGCTTTAACTTTATAGATTTGTGCTAGCGAAGTGGAAGCCCTCATGACACGACTTCAGCACACTTTCAAGCAGGAGATGAGTGGGGTCGGAGCCAGCCTGGAAAAAAGGTGGAAGTTCTGTGGCTTTGAGGGACTGAAGATGACGACGTAAATTTGAAACTTTGGACCCTGGCAATCATCCTGGGTGTGCAAATTGAACAGGCTTGCAGTTCTGCACCAGGACGGATTCATCCATGACGCAGCCACTATCTCACCTCGTAGAACGGCTTCAACAAAACTGGGGGCCAATTTGTAAGGGCTGTAATATTCCTATCCCCACCCCCCACCCCTTTTGTACTGAACTGAGCCCTTCGGCTGGGAGTATCCTGGCATGTTCTTTGGTCAGTTCTAACACTGCTGTTTGAACATTTGATACTTTTTTCAAAAAAAAAAATTGCTGTAGCTCAAAACATTGTAATAACAGATTTATACATGATATCCTGAGACCTGTTAAAACGTTTTTACTTTTGACAGCAGCTATAAAATCTGAGTAACCACAAACGTAAGACCTTTGCTGACTGCTGGCATCTTCTTGTAAATATTTAAGGTTTCTCCTTTTTTATAAGTAGAAAGGGTTGTTAATTTGTGGCAGAAAGGAGTTGTAGAGTGAATTTGGAAACACTGTATTCTGTGCTAAAGCAGAGAACATACAAACATCGAGCATTTCGTGCCAGAGATGTGATTGCTCTGTTTCCTTATGGGGCAGGAGTTAATAGTGCAGCAATGTGCATTCAAATTTAAGAAGGTGTACTGGCTAAGATGTCCTGATCTGGATAGCCCAGGATAGCTCAATCTTGTGGGAGACCACCAAGGAATACCAGGATCATGACTTGCTTTGAAAACCCCAAAGGGTTGCCATAAGTCAGCTGTAACTTGATGGCAAAAAAGATGGCTAAGGTAATAGAACCACACAAGCAAAGTCCTCCATCCAACTTTCTCCTCTCTCATGAACCCACTAGGTGGTCTGAAGCCAAGCCCTTTCCACTTCAGACTCCATTGCAATCTGGGGTAATAAAACTGACCTGCAAAGTTCTTGTAAGGACAAGAAGATAATGTATGTGCAGCACTTAACTTTCTAAAGCACTATATGGATACTATGTGATGAATACATAACATGTTCTGTGGAGAAACAAGAGAAGACCATTGCCTTAATTCCTTACTTTTGGGCTTCCAGACAGCATCTGGTTGGCTACAGGGGGAAACAAGATGCTGGGGTGGGTTGAGTTGTGGTTGATCCGGCCGGGCCGTCCTTTTCAGACACAGCCTTGACTCAGACCTGCTTAACTTCCACACAGCTACCCTCCATCCATACCGGGCTATACAAGTAGTTACAAAAACAGCCAGATAGCACCACCAGAAGGGCACTCCCCTTGTTCACTGCTTGTGTCTGATATTTTCAACACGTGCTCAACTCTTGGCCAGAATTCTTATACTGAAATCTCAGCTGACTCCTGGGTGTGTTTTCAGTGCAGAGTTGAGGATTCTAGTGAGAATTTGTTGAAAATCAACATGCTCTCACTAGAATTTTCAGACCTGTGCTGTTTCCATTTCACAGGGTAGGAGACTAAAAGTAAGAGTTGCTTGTGTTTATGAATACCTTAGAGTGGCTATTATTATTTGATATCTGTGGTGCATCTTGAAATCTGTTGTTCCAGCATCGCCCAGCACCATGTAATTCAGCTGCATCTGCAACATCTCTGGTACTTCTCAAGATTTTGCAAACTATGCTAGGGCAGTGGTCTTCAATCCTGTTGCTTGGGGGCAAGGTTGCAAGCCCTTTATAGCAGGAGTGTCAAACATGTGGCCCAGGGGCCGGAACCGGCCTGTCCAGAGCTCTTATCTGGCCCACGAGCAACTGATGCGAGAGAGGGAAGGCAAGCGGCTGCTGGGGGGGGGGAGTGGGCATAGAGGCACACAAAGTGAGGTTTTACGTTTCCCCTCCCCTTTAAATCCTTGGGATTTCTTATTCCTTACATGTGTTATTCTAACAAAAACTTGGAATCCCCCCCACCCATTACCCATCGTGCTAGTTTTGTAACTAGCTTAGCATAATTAGCTTTTCTTAACTAGATTTGAATTTTACGCCGTTGCATTTTACCTGGGTTGCCAGTTCTGGGAGAATGTGGGGGTGGAGCCCAAAGAGGGCAGGGTTTGGGGAGGGAAAGGACTTCAAAGGGGTATATTGCCATAGAGTCCGTCTTCCAAAGTGGTCATTTTCTCCAGGGGAACTGATTTTTGTCACCTGGAAATCAGTTGTGGTCCCAGATCTCCAGCCACCACCTGGAGAATACAAAAACTGAGGGTCACAGTGTTAGGAATATATGGGAAAGTATATGACACTGTGTGTAATAGATGTATGCTTAAGGCAGATCTACTTTGTGCTTTTTATTTTTCATTTAATTTTTTTTTCCTATACTGTTATATAAATATTGGTGTCAAGTATTACCAAACATAGGTTTCACCAAAACAATACATCAAAGTGCAGGTTTACACTATGTTCAAACAGTCCAACAGCAGCTTGTCAGTTTCACAATCACTAATCCCAGGGGAATCTAGTAATTTACCTGTATTGAATACAATCTTTTTCAAGGACCATGATATACATACAGGACATAAGGCGCAATAAATTCTCTTTGTGAGTATAAAACTCTTAAAATAGCATATTTTCTACGGTCCCATCGGAACCCTTATGGCAAACATAATAACCTATCTAGGAGAACATCTCAAATTCTATCGGGCATAGAATTGGTTGAAATAGTCAGTCCAGAAATATGTCCTCTTTTGCTTTTCAAAATATAGTAACCCTAATTTTACCCTGCATTTATTGCATTTTACGATTCCCAACCGTTCTCGGTTTTTTCATACCCCTGGCAGGAAATGAATGTAAAAATCCACTCATTGCAGCTGAAGAAGTGGGAAGGACCCAAGAAGGTCCACGAAAGCTTCGAGGTGCTGTAAACTCGTCTAAAAATCCCCCCCCCCCCCCGCGCCGTCGCCAGAGAAGTGGTGGAGCCCAGCTTGGGCATAAGGGTAGGGAGAAGAAACAAGCTACAGACAGAACGCCCGAGAATGTTAGCATCAAATGTCTTTTGAAGACGCGTGCATACACACGAAAGTTTACACCCAGAATTAAACTTTGTTGGTCTTAAAGGTGCCTTTGGACTCAAACTGTTCTTCAGCGCCTAACGGGTTCTCTTATGCTCGCAGCTATCCCCATGGCATCTCTATGGCTAAAAGATGGGACGCGGGAAAGCTATCCCATTGCAGACCAGAAGTGCGGGTCAACGGGCTACGGCTTATTTCCTTAGCTCTACGTTATTCGGTCCGCTGTCGCCCTTGTTAGACGTCATAACTAAGCGACCGACACCTGTGGCTGAGGAAGAAAAGCGCTGCGGAGATGCCTCCCAAAGGAAAGAGCGGCGGCAAAGGAGGGAAAGGTGAGGGATGGAGGCAGGGCCGGCCGACTGGGACGTTGGTGCCGGACTGACGAGCTCCAGCGGGCGGGACTGAGCAGCCCGAGTCTTCTTCCCCCTCACCCGTGCTTGGCTGAGAGCAGGGGGAATCCAGGAGTCTGGTGGCTGCATCCCCAACTCTTATGGCAAAGGGATCAGAACGCTGCCCATTTTCACAACCATGGTTTCCGGGGGGGGGGGGCATTAAAAATCCTGGGTGTGTATTGGGTTGCCAACCTCTAGGTAGTTCCTGGAGATATCCCGCTATTACAGTTGATCGCCAAGCGACCGAGATCGGTTCCCCTGGAGAAAATTGGTAGCTGCGGAGGATGGACTCTATGGCACTATACCCGGCTGTGGTCCCTCCACACCCCGCCCTCCCCAAGCCCCATGCCCCAAATGTTCAGGCATTTCCCAAGCCAGAGCTGACAACCTTATGGAAGTGGTAGTTTTGTGCCAGTGCTCTCCATGGCTTGGTTCTAGCTGCTTCGTTGAACTACAGTTGCCTGGGATTTCTTAGACTGCAGTTACAGCCATTTAGTAGGCCGGAAACTGGCACTGATGCATTTCAGTGGCTGAGAGGCATGTATGAAGTTGCCTTATGCTGAATCAGGCCACTGGCCAATTCATTTATTATTCAGTACATTTGTATCCTGTTTTTCCTCTAAACAGCTCATTCTTCTTTCCTCTGTTTTCCCGCAACAGCCCTGTGATGTGGGGCCCCAGTCACACGGCAAAGTTGCCACAGGAGAGGCACGGAAGGTGGGCAGATTATCCGGGCGCGATCACACCCCAACATCTGGGAAGTGGAGTGCACCCATGGCTTACCGTTCACAATGCGCATTTTAAAACTAGCACCTCCAAGGTACTAGTAAACGTTTGCCACGGGCTGCCTCCAGATGCCGGGGCAATTAGCCAGTCCCCCCCCCCCCCCAATATCCGGCCCATGTGACCGGGGCCCAAGTTAGGCTGAGAGAGAATGATGCACCCTAGGTCACCTGGTGTGTTTTATTACAGACTGGGGATTTGAACCTGGGCCTTGTGGACTGTAGCCTGACACACCAACCGCTGCCCCACACTGGCTTTTGATGCAGTCCACTGCTGTCTACTCTGATGAGCAGCAGTTCTCTAGACTCTAAAGCAGAGGTGTTTCCCAGTCCTGGTACTTTCACTGGGGATGCTGATTGAACCGGGAACGGTCTGCATGCAAAGCGTGATTATGCTTTAGCTGGTTGGGGCTGTCAGCCAGATACAGAGCCCAGCACAAGCCACGGCATGTGAGACCACAGTTGTTCTTGCCCATCCAGGGCATCTCACGGTTGCCTCTGTTTCTGTGTTTTCCAAGGAGGAGCAACGTCCGGAGGTGATGCTGCTGATAAGAAGCCCCAAGGCCCCAAGGGGGGTGGCAGCAGTGTGAAGGTGGGCGCTAGCAATTTCCTTGGGTGATCTCTATATGAGCCCAGCTTTAGTCAGGAAGGTGGCGGGGATGGGGCGGAGACGAATAGTATGACATATTCTTTCCCTGACATTGTCAGAACTGCTCAGGGAGTGAAGAAGGAACAACAGAGCACAGCAGAAGGCTCGCTTTGTGCTCTTCAATTACTCAGGGTTTGGCCCTGAAGTTGGGTTGGGAAATACCTGGAGATTTTGGAGGTGGAGTCTCTGGAGGGTTGGGTTTAGGAAAGAGAGTGACTTCAGTGGAGTATAAGGCCTTAGAGTCCACCTTCCAACGTGGCCATTTTCTCCATCTGAACTGATCTGTGTCACCTGGAGATCAGTTGTACTCTCAGATCTCCAGCCACCACCTGGAGGTTGGCGACACTGCCCTGAAGTCTGACACACAACTAGCCATGTTGGAAGACAAACACCCACCCATCCCCGATGAAGAGTATTCTGCAGTGTTATTCTTCCATATTGGGAACTGGGGTGGGAACAGGATTTGCTTCAGAGTCTCTCACTGCTAATTTGCGTTAGTAGGGTGAGGTGGGTCACAAAAAATGATCACAACATTCAAACCACTCAAGGATTGGTTTCAGAGAATTTGGAAATTGTATTCATGACACAACTAACTTAATGTGATGTCTAAAAATGTGACGCAACAAATCAGTTTGTTCAGAAATAGACTCTGTGTTTGTTATAGTCTGGAACAGTAAATTCCAAGATAGATCTTAGTCTTATATATCATTTTGATTAGCTATAATCTTTAGGGAGGTATGTTATCTATTCTTTTGTGTTGTGTATATATAAATGAAAGCGTTTTGGGGAGAAACCAGAAATGATTCTCGACTGCAAGTGTAGTTCAAGACCCAGATGCAGCAGGGAGATTTAAAACTATACAGATAAATAAGGAACTTCTGATTTCATATGCAGCAGTGCGGGCTCTAAACCTTATCTACAAATCAGACAAAAGTAGCCTTGTGACAGATAAAATGAATATAGCTGGTTAAAAAATAATGATGTTTAGGGTAGGGAGCAGGCAAAGGGTTGCTTGCAGTGGGCGAGAAGGTGCAGATGCTCATCAGGTTTCCTATGAAAGAATGTGGCCATAGTGTTTGTTTTTGAGCCACTGATGCAAGAGGTCTGGGTTCTTAATATGCCTTGCTTTTTTCCTAGGTGAGGCACATTTTGTGTGAGAAACACAGTAGATCCCTGGAGGCCCTGGAGAAGCTGAAGACCGGCATGCGCTTCAGTGAAGTCGCGTCCCAGTACAGTGAGGACAAAGCCAGGCAGGGGGTATGTGCCCATCCCCGTTTTCTGGAATGGTCACAGGGACAGGGTCAACTGATCCAGAGTTGTAGGACAAAGCTGAAGGTGCCACTGGACTCAAACTTGGTCCTTTTTTTTCTTTTTTCTTTTTTGAGCCCCCGGAGGAAGGGGGGGACTACATATATAGGATAAAGCAAAAGAACCCACTACTAACTAAAAACCCAAGAGAGGAGATCAAACTTTGTTCTGTTGCTTCAGTTCAAGACGGTGACCCACCTGAATGGCTCTAGAATGGTGTCACACTTTGTCCTGGCAGACTATGTGAGAAAGTGGGCAGTAAGGATACCATAGTCTTGTTTTGCCTTAGCTGTAGAACTCTTTTCCCCCCACATTCTGCTGGCAAATTTGGGGGCACCGGGCAGCTTGCGATCTGAACTTCCTGATTCAGGAGCGACACCTGGACTGCGGTCACACACACTAAACAATCCACTTTCAGTCCACTTTCAATGCACTTTCCAACTGGATTTTGCCAATTCACACAGTAAAATCCAGTTGGAAAGTGCACTGAAAGTGGATTATTTAGTGTGTGTGACTGCAGCCTTTGAGTGGGCAGCAGAGGGACTGAGCAAGTGAAATTTATGGGGGTGGTGATGGAATCTCCTTGTTTTATACAACTGTGTTTTATACAGCACCATCGAAATACAGTGGGTAGGACCCTGCCGGTATT